ACACACACACACACACACACACTTTGTGTAGCTGCCAAGCATATGGCCCCTTTGTGCCCACACAATGGAGGCCCTGCTGGTGCCCTCTTCCTAGGTTCACCCAGCTCCTCCCTTCTCAGGAGATCTCCAGACCCGTGCCCACCTTTTTTGCCTTCTCTTCCTCTATGTGGAATGTCCTTTTCATTGCCCCCTTCCTTCATCTTTCTGCCTCTTCCTTGTGTCCTTTCCTGAGCTCTTGAAATCTGACGGTGTGAGGATTGTGAGAAGCAAGAAGCTAGCAGGAGGATCACCGTCCTCCAATGCTAGTTTGGGGAGAGAAGAAGTATGCAAGCAGAGAGGGGGTGGGGAGAAGGGAGGCAGTGTGCTAGAGGGGTGAGAAAGTGCACACCTGATAGCCAGAGCACCTGTGTCGCAGCTACACACTCACCTTTCCTGTTTGTGCCACAGTGAGCAAACCACATGCCTCTCTGGGGGTCATCTTCCTCATCTGTAAACTAGTGACGATAATAAGACCTGCCTCACAGGGTTGTTACGAGGATTAAGTGAGATCATCGTGTTGGTACTCAGCACGATGAGTGCTCACCAAACGGTACTTCAGGGGCAGTAAGTAGCAGGGCCAACCTATACCGTTGTACAGCTTGTGCACTGCACAAGGTGCCAGGCCAGGGCAGTGAAGAGGCCTGACATCCAGCCCCTGCTCTATCAGACAAATCATGCATCAGTGAGGATGCATGCATCCACCTCCCCCAAGAGGTGGCCCTGGAATCAAGCCCTTCATGTGGGTTCCTGAGCACCAGTCAAGAGTCCAGGGGAAAACTCAGGAGTCCTGACATCTTGGAAACCAAGATACCAAGGGGACAAGAAACTATGGGAACACCAGAGAAGGGAATCGCTTAGCTCAGTGTTCCCTGGAAAGTTGGGAAGAGCCAAACCATGAAATGTGTTAAACCGAGGAAGCAGACACTGCAGCTGAGGAGAAGAGGGGAAGGGCTGAAGAAACAGAAAAGGAAGGGAGACCTGGGTCAGTGATGTGATCCGAACGCTGTGTTGGTCTACAGACCTCTGGCACTTGCTTCTCCTCTGTGACCTCCGGTAAATCAATTTCTGTGAGCCAGGTCTGATTATTGCTTGTTGAACACCGCCCCCTGCTGGATACACTCTTCCCCTTCTCTGGCTGGGAGCCGCTAAGAAACTGAAAGAGAAGACAAAACCGGACAGGGAACAGAGGGTGAAGGACTTGTCATCCAGGATTCTGTTCTTGTTAGAGGTTTCTAGAAGATGAATGAGAGTTGATTGCTGACTACGGATAAATATAGACCAGAATTCATAGGTGTTTTATTCACGTATGTTAATGGTCTGTAATTTTCAGGTCGATTTTTTTCCTTTCTTTGTCTGTTTCGTGTGTGTGTGTGTGTGTGTGTGTGTGTGTGTGTGTGTTTTCTGTCTCTGGGGATTCTTGCCTGCTTCTGTGCTTGCTGTGTGTGTGTACATCAATGTGTTGTGTTTGTGTCCTTTTTTTATGTAGGAATCTGAGCAACAGCTGTCAGGCCTGAAGCTATTTCACTTCCTCTCCCCTAGAAGCCCTTTCCTTTCCTCTAGGTTTTACTTCTGCCTCCTGGCTCCATCTGCCACATGACTATGTACAGGTGACAATCTCTTGTTGGCTCCTGCCCCAAATTGGACATTCCAAGCTCAGAGCCTTGCTCTGCTCTAACCTGGGACTCTCGGACCTTCCTAGCAGGGCCACCAGCTTGGTTCCCAGTGAAGTGAGAGGGAGGGCCCTGAGATCAGATTCTGGCTGCTACTGACCTCCTTTTTATCCTTACTGTGACACTTAAACTCCAGCCTTCTCCTTTTATAGCCTTGTAGTTGTCTCCTTCATTAGTCAACCCCATTTTATTCAAAACACCATATGTT